GTTATTTGCAAGAAAAAGACGAGATTTTTCTGGCCGGGAAATTCGGCTTAGCCAAAATGATTTTTGACCCCTGAGGGCAAAAAATTCGGCAAGCCTTTCCTGGAGATTTAGTGCGAGTAATTGGTGGTAATTTTCCGACCGAATTAGGCGAAAAATTTTTGGTGATTAAGGATGAAAGAACCAAAAAGGAAATACTTCAAGAAGTAACCAATTGGTCAGAAAAAAAAAACCAACCCGCCTTGTCACCTTCTAGTGGAAAAAAAAATGTTAACTTGGTTTTACTAGCCGATAGCCAAAATAGTCAGGAAGCCTTAAATAATCTAGTTGCGAAAAGTGATAACTCCCAAGTTAATTTCTCCGTAGTTTATTCGTCTGTTGGAAAATTAAATAGTTTTGGACTGAATTTAGCCAAAATTACTCAGAGTGTTATTTTAGCTTTTGGTTACCAATTTTCTTCTTCGGAAATAAAAATTTTCCGGGAAAACAATCTCTCTTTTTATAGTAGCAAGATTATTTACGAAATCGAAGAAAAGTTGAAAAAAATTGTAGAAAACCAACAAGAAAAAAAACAGGTCGAAAAAGTAATGGGAGTGGCCCAAGTCAGCCACGTTTTTTACTTTTCCAAAGTGGGGAATATTGCGGGTTGTCAAATAATAAGCGGTAAAATTGCCCGCAATAATTTCGTTCATGTTTTTCGGGGGGAGGAACAACTTTTCACAGGTTCAATTCGTAGCCTGGAAAGCGATAAAATAACCGTTAAAGAAATCAGTAGTGGCCGGGAATGTGGAATAGTGCTAAAAGGGTTTGATGACTTCCAAATTGGTGATAAAGTTATTGCTTTTCAAATGAAAGAAGAAAGTATTTTGACGAATGAATAAAGATAAAATTATTACTTAGAACTAGTGGTAATATGTTGACGCTTATTTTAACAAGTTTTGTTATAACCAAACACCCTCTATATTAATTTTCCTCCTCCTCTTCGTCTTCTCAATCTCATTCCTGCTTAACGGGTTTTTCGTATCAAGTTCAGAATTTATCTCAACCAAAATAAATTATTGCCAAAAAGCCTACTCAAAAAAGCGTAGTCCAAGAAGTAGGCATAGCCTCAGGTGCGGGTTGGGGTTCGGGAGTTGAGAGGAACAGAATGTCTTTTTCTAAATTAGCGATTTTTTTTAAACATTGCTCTCTCGCTTTTGCTTTAAGTTCAATGTTCTTGTTAGTTTTTTCTAGCCAAGCATCTTTTTCCTCTTTTAATAATTCTTCTTGCCGCATCTCGGCAGTTTCTTCAGCAATTATTTCGAAATATTTTTTTAAACAAGAAGTAAATTGGTTATCTATAGAAACGATACCGCATCAAAAAAATTTGACTATATATTTTCCTCCTCCACCAGGCCACGCTCCGCTATCTTTTTCCGCTACCTTTTTTAAAGCGTCTCCTAATTTGTTAAAAAACTCGTGTTCTACCCACTTTTGGCTACTCAGTCCTCCGCTAGTAAAAGCCTGGGCCAAAGCGTTTTGTAACATAAAAACATTGATTTTGTAATGTTTAGCCTCAAAAACTAGTTCGTTTGCTTCAATAACTCTTTTTATTTCTTTATGAAAAGCACGATAGTTGGTTATTCTTTCCGTAGTAAGGTGAGCCATTCCAAGCTTTTTAGTAGCGAATTTGACATAAGAATAGTTAGCTTGCTTGTTTAACTTTTCCAAAGCGGTTGTTTTTTTTTTTTTTTGCACATTTCTTTCCGCTCCTGTTTTTTCGTCAAATTTTGTTATTGTTATTTCTTTTTCTTCGATTTGAAGATACTTTTTTTCCCAATAAATATCGTGTCAAGTAGCCGCTAGGCCATTTTCATAACTACCAAGATCTTCTATTTTCAATTCCTCAAAACATCACTCAGTATTTCTAGTAGCGTACATGAAATGTCTTTCTAATCTTTCTTTCTTCACATTCTCTTCCTCTTGGGCAAGTTTTTTTTCTAAAACTAACTTTAATTTTTCTTCTTCGTTCAACTCGTTTCTTTCTTTTTCGCTCAAATAATCATCGTAGAAATATTCCAAAGTTTTTTCTCTCGTTTCTTTCCAACTTTTTTTCTCTTCTTCGTCAGCTGGCTCGTCTTCGA